GTAATTAAAATTTTTTAACTTTTCAAAACAAGATAAATAAATTCTGTATATTAATATATGTCTTTTTGAATAAATTAAATATACCAAAATCTATTCAATATAAATAATTTGTAATGATTAAACATTAAATGAAATATGTATATACAAAACTGAAATCTGGTGTTAAAAAGGGGAGCTAACACCCCATTTAAGTTATCTTAAACTTATGTTAACTTGTCGAATGTCTAATTATAGATGCGAACCGTGTGGATATAATCATTTCCAGCTATTATAGAATAAAAAAGACAAAATACTAAACTATTTTTATGAAATATCGTTGATTCATTGTCAAAACGTAAAACAGACAGTCGTTTTAATAGAAATGGGTTAAGCTAGAGAATTGATAAGAAGTAGTGGATTCGGAAACGATAATCAACTTGCGACCAAAGTCGCTCGTTGATTATCGTTTACGAATCCACTACTTCTTATCAATTCTCTACTACATAATGAATCTGTTGTGAAAAGATTAAGGCTAAGTTGCGTTTTATTTGATAATCAAGAAGAATGTCTATATAACCAGGAAAATTGATTCCTGTCAACACCAGTCATCAGATAGTGTTTGTCTTCTTAATCAACAAGGTTTGAGTGAGGCACGAACACAAATCCCATGAAAATCACAACGTAACGCTTTTTTTGTTTTTCAACGGTTTTTGACACTGCTAATTGATTTTTACCTAGAGAAAAAGACGATTGTTTGGAATTCTGTGGAGGGAATTTATAAAAATTGAAATTCAGACTTAATCCCCAATGGATGACGCCAAAAGAGTGAAATAATTGGTTTTTATTTTATTTTTACCTAAATTACGGTATTTCCCTGTAATAAATAGGCCGTACAGTCACCCGTTATTACTTATTCCCTCGTCATTTGAGCTCTGGTGGATAGTTGTCTCATTGGAAAGCATACCAGATCTCCTTATATATATGTTTATTACTTTTGACACATTATTTTACTAGCACACCAATATGTTTTCTCTGTTAAGCAGCGTAAAATCAGAAATTGCCTATTTTTCTGTTTTTGTATAGGGTGAAAGTGATAACACAGGTGCCATCTACGTCAAATTCATCTGCAGATTTTTTAAAGATGACGTTGATGACTTCGACCTGAGCTATCCTCCTTGGTATGGTGTGGATGGTTCTTATGGCGAATGGAGTGACGATTGTCCAGTGAACAGTAAAATATGTGGTATAGAAACCAAAATCTATCCAGCCCAAGGAGGAGGAAAAGACGATACCGCACTAAATGATTAAATTTTTCTGTTGTGAATAAAAGGCTACTGTCAATATAGCAACATGTAAAATAATTAATCACTTTCAATCTTTTGAATTTTCGTAATAAAAGAAAATTCAAAATATTTAAAGAATACTAGTGACATTAAATCGTATACAGTTTGTGTACCAAACATAGTTTAAAACGTGCGTATTCTTACTTATCTTGGCGACCCGTATCTAATATTCAACTTCATGATGTTGTGGTTTATAGTGATCGTTGTGTTGTCCAGTTTGTCTGGCAGCGTTATGTAACCACAACACTTTTTAAGCAGTAGGTGCCTCTGTGGCCGAGTGGTCTAAGTAGTTTAAATACTGTATCACTAGCCTGTCAAAACTGAGTTTGTGAGTCTGAACTCCGCACGTGGCAGTTGCATTCGACTCCTATCTAAATTTACTAGGATGGTAATTGTTCCTGCAGAAGGTCGGTGGTTCTCTCCTGGCACTCCAGCTTCCACCAAAAAAAACTGACCGCCACGAAATAGCAAATAGTGCTAAAAGTGGTATTAAACACCAATCACTTAATCAATCTAAACCCAATTTCAATGAAACTTTTTTAAAAGAATTTTTTAGTGCCTAATAAAAATATGCGCTTTTATTTTATTGTTTTCATTTTTTATTATCCAATCGATATTTCCGTTTCCATAGGCAAACTTGGACTTTCACTAGACTGGTACCCGGCCGTTATTTGACTGTTTGACAATAATATGTTTATTTCGAAGGCATACTGAATATTTTATGGAGGGAAACAACCTAGACTTTGACATGTTTATTAAAGAGTACAATGTAAGGTATCTGTATTATCTTCTACGACTCCTACGCGGGAGTGAACAACGATGATGACTTCGTCTTTTTCAGCATAAAGATTTTCTCACTTTACACAAACTGTATCGTACATAATGAAGATTAGGTATATATTAGTCCGCTGGTTTCAATAACCAACAATGAATATCTGAACATGATAATGGCAGTGTTCAGAAAACTTGGTTGCCATAAAAATTTCGAAAATTATTGCGACGATTTTTAGAAAAAGATCATCAAGTATTATTGCATGGCGAAAACAAATAATTCATCAATGAAATTCGAGTCAGATATTCCCAAGTACATTCTTTTTATATTAGATACAAATTCTGATACCGTTTTTGTCGAAGGCAAATACATGTAGTTTCACTGAGAAACCACATAGAGGTACCAAAAAGCGTCATTATAGAGAAAAGGGGGATGCACCAAAAGGATTTTTATATAAGTTTGAAATATGTTTGTTTAAAGATTGACATATTTTTTCAACTACAATCAAACCAAATATTTTTTTTAGCATACAGAGTTTACAAAAGTATTTGCCATTCGAGTAGACAGACATTGGGTGGATGTACATGCATTATGTATATTTAAATGAACAATGCATCTTGATGATTAATCACTGAAAGGTCAAGTATGGACAAAAACAAGAATGTGTCCATAGTACACGGATGCCTCACTCGCACTATCATTTTCTATGTTCAGTGGACCGTGAAATTGGGGATCAAAACTCTAAGTTGGCATTAAAATTAGAAAGATAATATCATAGGGAACATGTGTACTAAGTATCAAGTTCATTGGACTTCAAATTCATCAAAAACTACCTTCACCAAAAACTTTAACCTGAAGCGGGACAGACGGACGGACGGACGAACGTACTTGTACCTTGTACGGAACATTGTCAATTTTTCCTATCGTCATTTATTAATGGTTTTTTTATTGGTATTTGTTTAGGATATTGGTGGGTATGGCAGATTTTGTTATGAATCCTGTTATATTAATCCATGGCATACTTTGTCTACATTTATAGTTTAATGCGATGAAGATTAAAAACAGGTCTATTGTTGAAGACCGTCTGATAATCTCTAGGTGTCTTTTTTTTTTGTGTGTTGTTGGATTGTTGTAATCTCTGTTAAATTTATCAATTTTTATCTAGATAAAGAGCTTGCATGCTGTATAGATTAGAAATATATTTATTATTGAAGACCGTATTGTTGACCGTAAGATGTTTTTTTCTTTCTTGTTTTTTGTGTTGTTGGATTGCTTTATCATTGACGTATTCGTCATATAGCCTTTTATTACTGTAGACAAAATATTTTGTTTCACTTATCTCACTCATAGTTATTGAAACGATAATGAAACTGATCATTGAACCATGATAATTATAAATTAAAGGTCAAGGGATAAATACCAGACAGAAAAGTCCGAACATAAGGAATCAGCAATATTCAGCTCTTTTATCATTGTAAATATAAAGCATTTCACAAACGGCTTATGATACTGCCTGATCAGCATATCTTCGTCTCTCATTCTACAAGGTTCGTCACAGGCAAGAAATAATTGCTATTGCAACAAGTTAAGTTTGGTTTATCCATGTACAAAAATGAAGTTTCGGTGAAAGAGATGAATATTTCTTATAAATATTTAAGGTTTAATGGAGACTATTGTGGCAGAATAAGCCATGTTTGCTATACATACAAACAGCACTAAAACGAAGAATCTTTGTATACAGTCTACTAATCATTACTATATATTAGTTACATATGGTTACAAACTATTTGGCCTTGTTATGCCAGAAAATAACTTGCAATATTGAGCAATCACAATCTATTATTGTCTGTAGCATCATCGTTTTATGATTATAATTGTTTTGGTAATTTGTTTATTTTTTACGTAAATACAGATACATACACCAATCTTGATTACGTGTATACAGTTTCAAGTATGTCCTTCAAAATATTTTCTTTGAAATCAAATTCTATGACATCGACTTTAAGTCACAAATACACAAAATATGCTATGACTATAATTTTACACCAATATTTAAATCACCTAGGACAGTTTCTAATGGCAACCATTTCGAATTCATATACTTATATAACTATATAATTATTTCGCACTAAAATTTATTTTCACTTTTGTACACAACTTCTTCCTTCATTGTCCTACATTTTGTGGATTTATGTTCATCCTATCTGGAACAAGGTAATATATTTTTTCAAGTTATTACCAGGCAAGAATATTTATTTCCAAAATCATCCTGACATCTACCCAACACCGAATATCAAATGATAATTCCCTTATTAACCCCGATCAAGACCCAACGCAATCATCCTACAAATAATTCTTCCCGAAATAAGAAGAAGCAGAACCATGTACAGAAACAACTGAATAGTACATGTAGTAGGTACAGGAAAACACCTATTTGGGAAGAAGGAAAACGTAAAAATGCAGTAATTCTGAGTTGCTGATACAACCGAAACATTCTTTTTAGCATATTATTACGCTGCTGTAGCTTGCGTAATCGTGACATCTTTAAAACACTCAACATAAACAAAATGAGGAGAACAGTTTTTATAAAGAAGGGGTTTCTTGGGACAAACTATTTTATTTACTTAATAAGACACCCCCCCCCTTTTTTTCAATGGAATCAAAACAATTTTTATACTTACCTCCTGAAACAAGGTATTTCGAATTTGATTATTTTTTTTTTCTCAACCCCTCCTTCCCAAGAAAGGATGAATTGGTCTGTGCCTTACTGAATCAAAAGTTTTCCTAGAATATTCAATTCAATTCTATGTAGTGTTCATCTAATATCGGGTACTTCTAGTTTACTCGTGTAAACAATTCTCAAGTATAGGTAATTAAAACCGGTGTATACATGACAACGAAATTAATTTGATATTAGGGTTTATGACATGAAATTATTTATTAACAGGTTTACAATACGCAGCGTTTGGTGTGAACACGGCCTTAGTGTACAACATTTGAAAAATAACTAAAATTTGACAGTTTACGTCTTTTAACACTGACACGACTAACCAGAAAAATGTTCAGTCACAAAGTTTCCTTTAATACTGTTATGTATTGATTACATTCCTGGAATGTTCATTTATCACACTAACTATATCACTATGACCTCTTTCAGAGGCAATTATTACAGATGACTGGCCTTTATTGTTACCTTTATTATAATCTGCTCCTATGTCTAACAGCAACTTTACAATTTCTGTATGTCCATATCTACAAGCAAACATTGTAGATGACCAACCTTCATTGTTACATTTATCATAATCTACTCCTTTGTCTAACAACATCCTTGCTATTTCTGTGTGTCCATATCTACAAGCAAGCATTACAGGTGACCAACCATCATTATCACGTTTATTATAATTTGCTCCTATTTCTAGCAACATCCTTGCTATTTTTGTATGTCCACATCTACAAGCCAGCATTTCAGGTGACCGACCATATCTGTTACATTTTTCATAATCTGCTCCTATGCGTAACAACAACTTTACTATTTCCGTATGTCCCTCACTACAAGCATGCATTACAGGTGACCAACCATTGTTGTCACATTTATTATAATCAGCTCCTATGTCTAACAAAACCCTTACTATTTCTGTATGTCCAAACCTACAAGCAACGATTACAGGTGACCAACCATTATTGTCACATTTATTATAATCTGCTCCTATGTCTAACAACATCCTTTCTATTTCGGTCCAACCTCTACTTGCAGCAAAATGTAATGGGGTTATCTCATTATTCCTACACCACTGATTTACATCAACACCATGGTTAAAACACCAACCAATCAAAGGAATATCACCCAGAAAACATAACTGTAACAATACAGTATCATTGTTGCTTACATCACAGGTATGTGCTAATTGTCTCTGGTAAGATGTGTCCAGTCCATTCAAATGACAGAAAAATCTCTGTCTGAACTGAGGTATCTTCATATTTATATTACAAAACACTTCCTTGACTTCACCCTTTGACCAGTCATCTATCATTCTTTTTATGTACATTTGATGATATTTAGGAGGCACAATTGATATGAACGGATCCACATTGTCTTGTTTGTCTAACAAAAATCTTTCCTTGATTAAACTTATATGTGCATTCTTTATCAAACAATGGAGTATTTTCTGTCCAAAGTAGTACACTAGAAAGTCAAATATTTTATCATGAATAGTTCTGTATATATCTTGTTCCTTTTTCAGGAATGTATGTAAAAATGAGTTCAGTTCATCCTGTAATGTTAACCTTGATATTCCTCTGTCCAGTTTACATGCCTCACATGTGTTCTCAATGATAGCTTTTGTTTCTTCATTTATCTCCCCTGTTAGCGTTTCTTCCTTCAAATTGTTGTTAAACATGACACATAAAGCCAGGGCACAATATTTACTGTAAAATCCTTTTTTCTGTAGATTGTCAATCTCAACTTCATAAACTGAAAAAGGCTTATGGAAGAAATTTTTGATATTAAGTGAAGGATTTTCTTGATACAATTTACATAAAAGTGGGAAGCAATCATATAAATCATAAAAATCGGAAATATCAGGAGCTTCAGTTTTAAGATATACTTCAGCTATTAACTCCTTTTCAGCTAATGATAAGCACATGCTATTTGATAAAAGGTTACATACACATGATTTGCAAACTGATAAACATTCAAACTTGTCATCCTGATACACTTGTAATCGACATGCTACAATTATCTTAGCAAGTTTATTTGAAAGAATCTTTTTTATTGGTTGAATGACTGGTTCCCAAACTTTCAGGTCAGTCTGGTTTAAAGAATAGTTACCACATAAATCATCAATAACAAACAATGTTTTCTGGTTCGGGTTATAAAACTTGACAATGTCACCTGGGTCTGTCATTAGAAGTACATCGTACCCTTCTGTCTCCATCTCTAATGCCACATGTCGTAGTGTAGCCGTCTTACCCACACCAGAACTAGCAGTAATAGTCACACAACTGTTCTCCTTTATATATGTCAGTACATGTTTGGCAGCTCTGGTTGTTACAAACATCTTGTCATTGTCCTTCCACTCCACAAGCACCTGACTGAATTGTGCTAAAATGTAAGTTATTGAATACATATTACGGACTTTATTTAAATTATTTGGAAGTTTATGTGATTGCTTACGATGCGATATTCACAAACACAACTTTGCTAGTTGAAAATGATTCAACTAAAAGCATGACTAGCAACCAAGTTTAACACATAATCAAATTTTGCTAATTAAAGACTTTCTTTTAACTTAACTCAGTTTTATTGGTTTTATTGAAAAAATAACTGTCTCTAGTCATATAGACATTGTCCTCCAGACGCCTTTTAATTTTTTGTGTTGCTTCATTGATATATAGCCTGCACTTTTTATTCATCTTGTAATTGCCCGCAATACCATTTGCAAAGGAAATCAGCATCTGTTTGTTTCTTTACTCATACTTTAACATAATTCCGATGTTTCAGTGATATTTTTGCATTCTCATGTTATAAGGTTGCTGTCTCGTTAACATATATACTACTTTTTTTTAAATTGATGAGTCAAACTTGTTAAATATTCCAGGTCGAAACACGATAAAACTTTCATTTTTTCTTCCATTTTGTATACTATTGTATATATTTTGGCGGTTTAGAAGAAGGGACAGTCGCTTTTGATTGACTAAGTTTTTAGACGGTAGAACATGAATTCTAACATGAGCTTCTTAGGAAGGATGAAAAGAGCTAACATTATCCTTTAATTTCACGTTCTGCTATACAGATGCTGTCCTCTCACTTAATAATTCAAAGTTTGATGACTATGTTGAACGCATCTATACCATCAAACTTGAAATAAAGGATACAACAGATACATGCAGTAAAGTCTTTCTCATATCTTGACTTACATCTAGTAATTGACAATGAGGGTCGGTTAAGAACAAAGAATTACGACAAAAGAGAATATTTCAGCTTCCCAATTGTGAACTTTCTATTTCTATGTAGCAACATTCAAGCAGCACCTGCATATCTGTACTACTAAAGGAAGAGACCGATTTGAGCCGCAACTCCTCTGAAACCATACAAAGTCGAAAATATTTGTGATATGACGTATAAATGTAGTGTTTTGTATTTCCTAAATTTGTCTTTGAAACAATTTTTTTTCCACAGAAATCGTCAATTTTTTAAAAATATCCAAATTCGGAGACCGTTATCGATCCGTGTTTTATACGATTTCGCGCATGCTCAGTCGACGTACTGCCCACGGCCAACTCGCACCACGCAAACACTCACTAATTATTACAACTTGCATCACTCTATCAAACTCGCACCACCAAAAAAAAGAAGAAATATAACAAACTCACAGAAATGTGTTTAATCATTAGATTGTTTTGTTCGTCTCTTAGTAAATTCCTCCTTTTTCGCAGCACCCGTGTCACACATAGACAGAAATCGCACCTCTCAAAAAAAAATACTACAAAGTCGCACCGCTGAAGAAATGTTTTAAATCATCAGAGAGTTCTAGATTATCTTCGTCTTCTCTAAGTTATTTCCTCCGTTCTTGGAGCACCCATATCACACAGAGACAGAACTTGACTCGCACCTTTCAAATAAAAACAAATACTACAAACTAGCACCACTGAGAAATGTTTTAATCATCAGTGTTCTAGGTTGTCTTCTTCTCTGAGTTATTTCCTCCGTTCTAGGAGCACATGTGTAACACCGAGACAGAAGCTACTAATTAGACATTCAAACTCCTATGGAAAAAGAACTGACAAACTAATAAAAACTATCAACATAATGCATCAGTGCATAGAAACAGTTTGAGAAACACGAATCCAAGCTGTGTATTACCACAAACATTTCAAGTAGTCTTCAAGCCGCGCTCGCGCGGGTTTTTTCTAGTAGAGTGTATATCTCCCAGTTGTTACGATATTCCAGAGCTTGCATTTCCTATCATAATTTCCTTGAAAGAGGGCTGCTGCTTACAAGGAAGTTATTGAACCAAGAGTTCCAAGTGGCGAAGTTGAAATAATCCCTTCGAAAAGATATGCACATCGACATTATGCACAACAACTGTACAAATATTCATTGGCCTTTTTGATTTTTTTGCGATGATAAAAACTTTTCTCAAATTTTGTGATTTTTAACCAAAAATCGTTTTTTCCAAAACTAAATGGCCAACTTTCATCAAAATCGATTATGTATATTATGATACTTTGAACAACAGTGCAAAATTTCATTGATGTTGGAGTTTTTTGCGTTTACAAAAATTATTGACGGACAGATGAAAGACATACAGAAAGAAAAAGACAAAACTATAGGGCTACCGCATCCAAAATATGGAGCCCTAATAAAATAGACACATTAACACATGAGAACCTAGAAAACTGACATAAGGAATTGATTTTTAAACATAAACTGTGTATTCGTTTTTCTATCTGTTGTTTTGAAAATAATACACAAGCTATTTTACAAATGTGAAACAGATCATATGTACACTACATATGGGAATGGCTTAGAGATGAGCCAGTTATAAACATGATAAAGCACAAAAAGGATACAGGTGCTTGAATAGTTCAAATTTAAAAATACTTGACATTTACATGTTTACCTCTTACATTCCATGGCACTGTATCTTTTAACTTCTCTACTTCAACTGTTAGATCTGCATTTGCTATTTTCAAACTCTCCACGGATTGTTTTAGTTCCCTCATTTCATCATAAGAACGTTTAATGTCCAATATTATTTCTTGGTTTGTCTGGTTTAATGTCTTTGTTTTCAGGTTATCACACTCTTGCTTCATTGGTTGTCCACCTAACCTGCCGATAGCCTGAAATATTATATAAAAGGAGAGGACAAGTTTAGTTAATTCATATTCAACAAATTATTAAATATAAGAAGCAAGTAATTAAGAATCAATGTATTTCAATAAAAACGTGTTTCTGTTCTCAACACAAAATTCATTGAATGCTTCTAATATTAACTACATTGTAGGAATCTTGACCTTTCAGGTTAAACGTAAAATGGAATTTAATGAAAGTCATTAACTACTTAACATTTTATATTTGTGAAAATGGTATGATAATCCTGTGCAAAGAGGAAAGATGCGCCTGTATGTAATTTTGATAGAATAAAGCAAATGTTTTAACATAAAAATCAACCTTTTAAACAAGTAAACAATGCCAAAGTTTCAAAGTCAATAAAGCATGACTATTATATATCAATGTTTCACTTATACTAATGTGTGTGTGTTGTCTATTACCATGATGTCAACAGAGAAGTGTTCATTCTGTGCTGGTATTTAGTCATGTCTTTCATTTTGTAATTCCATTGATTGAGAATGACAAGAGAGAGTCCAGCACTCAACAAACGAATTAAACTGCATTATGTGCATTGATCTGTCTAAAGTAACGAACCTTCATAGTGGTTGTATCAATCTAATCTTAACACTAGTAAACGAATTTTGATCTAAAACGGTAATTTTTATCTGAACAGCTCTTCAAAAACTGAACAATTTATTTTTCCGTGTTTCCGTCTTTCAGTCAATTTTCAGATCTATCCACTGCGGTTAATTCAGTACTGTTCAGACAATTCGCATGCATTCAATTAAGATCTGTTCAGTCTTTGTTCTGACTTTTAAGGAGTTGTTATTTACCTGTACGGATCAACATCATACAGAATTATTTGAAAAGCAACTGAACACATGTGAACAGTACTGAATTGACTGCAAGCGAATTGTATGAACAGTACTGAATTTATCGCAGTGGATAACTCTGAAAATTGACTGAAAGACTGAACGTAATTAAATAATTAATTGCTCAGACTAATCATGTGGTGTTAATATCAAAAATTGGTTTACTTGTGTAACGTATTTAGCTCATTATGAAATTTGTTGCTGATGACTAACCTTCAACCTTTTAAAACCTGTAATAACCAATTCTAAATGTTTTAGTAATGAATTTTACATCTCACAAATGTTCTAAATAGGACCCTGAAGGATGCAGACCTTTAAAAGCCACTGTTAAAATTGCTCACAATTTTAGTACATATAGTAACAGCATCTCAGACTGAGGTTATCAACCAATGCTGTGGACAATAGTGTATTATTCTAAGGTACTTACACCAGTTATATCGTCCCATGCTGTGATGAACATATTGTTGGCTATTTTCCCCTCATCCAGATGAGCCAGATTGTTTCTGTAATATTTTATTCTGGCCAGATCTGAAGTAGGTGTAGTTTCATTAGGAGATGGTAACCGCTCATATCCACCATGAGGAGGGGTCAAGTTTGTCAGGTTTCTAAGTAACGTTATCATTAGAGTTACATCAAATGTTTTAGAATCAGGTTCATCTTACAAATAAAATATAATATCATTCAGTCATTGACCAGTGATGATAATCACAATAAATATCAGTTATTATAATTAGAGTAAGAATTAATGACGACGATAATGATGGATGGCTGTTTTTTTTTGTTACGTCCAGTGGCAAATTAAATAAATATTTAGGACGAGAACATTTAAATGTGATATGAAAATATAAAAATGAGCCCTGCTTGACTGACACTGACCGACAGAGCTGGATTTTGTACGTGTTAGTCTGCCGGAAGGTATGTCACCCTACCCAAACACAATATTCCGACTCCAGAACTACAAGTCTTGGCTCTTACTCCTAAATTCTAGGCGCTTAGCGGAGAAGCAGTAAATCACACTGACTAGGTCTTTGATCTGACACGGCCGGGGATCCAAAATGTGAAACAATTAAAATCTTTATGGATAACTTATCGCTTGATATAAGTAAATAACATTTAACATAAGTATTTTTTATTTATGAATGCGGTTTTTGTTTTATTTTTGTTTGTTTGTTTTTTGTTTTTTTGTTTTATGTTACACGATGTGCATGAAAGTGAACTTTGTCGTAACTATGCCACTGCTACTTACCAGGAAATCTTGGGAACAGCAGGTTCCATTGTGGCTGATTAATTATTCGCTTTTTTTTAAGGTCTCTCAAACTGTTGTATTCTTTTTTCATAGAGGAATCCAAACAAGCTGGAGCAAATTCCCGATCAAACAAAGCTCGTGCTGCACAAGGAGATATTCCTGTCAGTAGCAAGCTCATCCTGACATAGTTTTCCTCCTCTTGTGTAAGACTAGATGCCATTGCCTTAGACAGTAAAAATTAAGTTGATAGTTTTCTATTGTATAGAGTTCCAACTTTATTTCCTTAAATAAAACATGTACAATGTTAATCATAGCTGTTTATGCACAAATCTGGCCATTGTTTTTATATATGTTGATATAAATCAAGACTGCTGCACTTCTCATAATATTCCTCTGGCTGTTTGTTAACTGAGAGAACCTTTTTTAACATGGGTGCGAGAGAATTTTCTGAAAGAAACCCGTTTATACACTGATCAATATACACTTTAAATTATCTTCAAATATTTTTTAATCAACCAATTATTAATGTCATTCATCTGACCTTGAACTAACCTATGTTGGAGTTTGGTTGTGCATGAGCTCAGCATTTCAAGTAATTGGAAGAAAAATGGCAGCTGAAAGGTGAAATAGAGAAGGCAGCAGAATTTGTTGTGTGTAATATCGCAAATTAATTTGACCTAGAAAAACAGCCTTAAATAGGTTAAGAGACATAAAGAGTATATGATTAACATTTAATTTATAGTTTTATCAATGAAATGAGATGAAACTGAACCATGAAAATCGACCTTATACTGTGCTTACCTGACTATTTGTAGTTATGTTTATATGTCTGTGTATATTAGATATTTGCAGAAACTAGGTCTATACCTAGGATTACACAGAGTTACGATCACAGTTGACGAAAAACAAGGGGTCATCTCAAAATATAAAAAAACAGTAATAGGGATACATAGTCAAACCAAATGATTTTTTTTATTATTTAAGAATCGCTGTCTTGAATATCGTCACAAAGTCCCCATAACTTTGTATTTTTAAAGTTCTCCTATGACGTGTTTAACCTCTACCCTAATGTGTGTAATATCGAACAATCTGTTGTCTTATAAGAAGTGTCGAAACTTGATGTATGTTCTGATATATTTTGTCGCCCAACAAAAAACAACAGAGATCCATACGCTTTCCCCGAGAAATTGAGTACATCTTTTTATGACATGGTTTTAAGTATAGCAAAATCAGTAAAATATTCGTTCAGAAGATACTCTACACACAGTGCACTAAAAAATGCGATAATCAAATTACACAATATTGTCCATTTGACTACTATATATTTGTCGAAAAAAATTCTTAAAAATCTAATTATTCAAATCAATATATTTTTCCTTGATGTATGTTAGTATATGATATATACGAACACTGACTATTAATTTCAGAATTTTTGGTCTATAATTAAAAAAAATATATCACATATTAACATACATAAAAGAAAAAAAATATTGATTTGAAAAAATAGATTTTTTAAGATTTTTTTTCTGCAAATATATAGAAGTCAAATAGAAAATTGTATTATTAAACCCGCCGCAGCGCAGTGATTTTGAAATATTAATGTAGGGTGTTTTACACGATTACACTTTTGTATCCGCAACTGCCCCCTAACCGACATAAATAGTATGTGATTAATTTTGACAATTTCTTCTCACTTGATATACCTTTTGCACCATGTTCCCCTTTCAATCTACGGAATAATTTTGCGGATAAATTTTGAGTTGAAATGGACACTGTAATAAGTGCACTTTATGAATTCTACCGGTCTCGGGATCGGAATGAATTATCGACATTGTGCAAGAAAATGTCCATACTCAAATGATTTCCAAGATCTCTATAAAAATTACACAAAAACAAACAACTTAGAACCCGGATGTCATTTTTAATGTGAAAAGATAGATAGTAAAATTCCAGCTATTTGAGTACACCTATTCTTCATTTCAACAGAGTCTGGCGAATAGTTTAAATTATATATTCGACATAAAGATGTTCATTGATAACGGTCTTTTTTTTTTATATTTTTTTATTTTTGTTTGTCTATTGATACCAAAAACGTAGACAAAAGTATTTGTCCAATTAAGAAAGTAAAAGATACTAAAAATAAACCAAACGGCAAGTGAAATGCCATGAAGAACACATAGTTCTAAATCACCCAAATTCTCTTTTTTTAAATCGAAAATGTATTTCTTAGCAGAAAAAATTAGATATTGTCAACATGCTCCTTTGTTGATCGCCCCTTTCTTAAACCTTAGTCTTAAAACATTAATTGCTAATTGTCCCAACCTAGCCGCTGCAACGATAATTGCGAAAATGTTTTTGCATGTCTCATGAAAAATTTATAAAACGATGTTTGTCAATTTTATCATATTCTATACAATTACAGCATGTTCAACCTGGATAACACCATGTACAATATATGATGGGTATAAATTACTACATACATTTCCTGAAACCCCCGTTCTTCATCTATAGAAACACATCATAAAAGTTAGACTTTGTTTTGGAACGACGGTTTATATTTACAATTTGAGACGACCAAAAATTTAAATGCCACCTGTAGGACTTATTGTAATTGTTCTCCTAATCGTAGGTGTGTGACATTTTCTGCAAATGTCTATTTTTAATTATAAGACGTTCACATATCAATCGATAGTTTTCATGGGTTTTTAAAAGCACATTTTGATAGTATAAGTTATTGAATAAATATTACGGACTTTATTTAAATTATTCGGAAGTTCACGTGATTGCCTACGTAGCGATATTCACAAACATAGCTTCTCTGGTTGAAAATGATTCAACTAAAAGCATGAAAAGCAATATAATTGTGTTAATAAAAGACATTCTTTTCACTTCTCTCAGTTTTATTGGTTTTATTGAAAGGTAACTGTCTCTAGTCATATAGACATTGTCCTCCAGACGCCTTTTGATTTTTTGTGTTGCTTCATTGATATATAGCCTGCACTTTTTATTCATCTTGTAATTGCCCTCAATACCATTTGCAAAGGAAATCAGCATCTATTTGTTTCTTTACTTTACTGTGGACTCATTTGTATTCGTGGGGCACCAATTTTCCTGGAATTCATGCGTATGAATAAATCACGAATCTTAATGTTCAACGAAGTCCAAATTTCCTTTTGGCTTGTATGCAGACATTGCCAAAAACAACGATATGAAGTATTCCATAAAAAACATCCTTTCCTCAATCCAGGAAAATTGATTTCCACGAAAATAAATGAATCCACAGTATACTTTAACATAATTGCAATGTTTCAGTAATTTTTTTTCGTTCTCATGTTATAAGGTTGCTGTTTCATTCACATATATACTACTTTTTTTTTTAAATTGATGAGTCAGACTTGTTAAATACTCCAGGTCGTAACACGATATAACTGTCAATTTTTTCTTCAATTTTGTATACTATTGTTCATATTTTGGCGGTTTAGTAGAAGGGACAGTCGTTTTTCATTGACTAAGTTTTTAGACGGTAGAACATGAATTCTTACATGAGCTTCTTAGAAAGGATGAAAAGGGCCAGCATTATCCTTTAATTTCACGTTCTGCTATACAGATGCTGTCCTCTCACTAAATAATTCAAAGTTTGGTGACTATGTTGAACGCATCTATAACCATCAAACTTGAAATAAAGAATACAACACATACAGTAAAGTTTATCTCATATCTTGAATAACATCTAGAAATCGACAATGAAAGTCAGTTTAGAACAAAGCATTACGACAAAAGAGAATATTTCAGCTTCCCAATTGTGAACTTTCCATTTCTATGTAGCAAGATTCTAGCAGTACCGGCATACATTGTATATATCTCCCAGTTGTTAAAATATTCCAGAGTTTGCATTTCCTATCATAATTTCCTTGATAGAGGGTTACTGCTTACAAGGAAGTTATTGAACCAAGAGTTCCAAGTGGTGAATTTGAAATCATCCCTTCGAAAAGATATGCACATCGACATTATGCACAACAACTGTACAAATATTCATCCTTTTTGAGTTTTTTTCTCAAAATTTGTGATTATAACCAAAAATATTTTTTTCCAAAACTAAATGGCCAACTTTCATCAAAATCGATTATGTATTTTATGATACTTTGAACAACAGTGTAAAAGTTCATTGATGTCATACCTATAGGGTTGGAGTTTTGTGCGTTTACAAAAATGATTGACGGACAGACGACAGACATACAGAAGGAATAAGAGGAAACTATAGGGCTACCGCATCCAAATATGGAGCCCTAATAAAATAGATACATTACATGTAACACATGAGCACCTAAAAAACTGACATAAGGAATTGATTTTTAAACATAAACTGTGTATTCGTTTTTCTATCTGTTGTTTTGAAAATAATACACAAGCTATTTTACAAATGTGAAACAGATCATATGTACACTACATATGGAAATGATGTAAAGATGAGCCAGTTATAAACATGATAAAGCACAAAAAGGTAACAGGTGTTTTTTTCTTAATTTTTTTTTTAACACAATTAAATAATCTGAATTGCACTATATGCTCTATAGATTGAAATAAACAATTAATTTCCCCATAGACGACAATGACAGCCTTTTTCGAGATACAGACTTTAGAAAATTGATGTTTTTAACGAAACCTTAATAGAATTAAAGAAAAGTTATTAGGACAGTATTTTTTAGTCCAAAAAATATAGGTTCGCGTTGTTTTTCTTAACTTAATTTGTACTTATCTCCCATGCCTATCAATTTTGCACTTAAAAATACGTGACTCATCCTAGCGTTTAAAAGACATCTCAGTTCCGTTAGGGCTAAGGAAAATAATTTATTTTGCCTTTGGTATAATGCAGAATGCACGAAGTCTCTAATAACAAAATATAACGGGCGCACATATCAACCAATCAGGATTAGCTATACTCTTAATTCTGAATACCATGTTATGCTCATAAAATGGCTGCGCCCATAAAATCTAATGGTTGATTGTAACCTATACGGTATTTAATACTTTCTAAAATCATGCAATTCATAGTTCGTTAGATGCACAAATATATATGCCACACAAAAATCATCTTCAAAACGTTCTGGCATTGCTCTCTGAATTTTCACAATTTTTTATCAGAGGTGACCCCAGTCAAAAAATGTGAAAAAAAATATTTCTGATTTTTTTAGTAAATGCGGTACTGCTAAAAAGGGCCTGAAGATAATGTCCACTTTCTCCAATGATTCTTCATATGTCATCACGTACTGATTATATTGATACCCAAACCGATCCAACATGTAACTACTACGGTGAATTTTGAACAACATTTTTAATGAAGCCATTTTCGTATAAAAGTACATTTTTGAAACGGGCTATAGCATTTCAAAATATAAAAAATGTGTAAATATTTGTGTTTAAACATCGAAAACTATTCGTTAACTACAAAATGTCATGCCTATTCTAATTTTTATAGTCTGCCATTCGAGTGAACATTTCAATGTTCGAAGGGGATCATTTCTGTACATTTTCACTGAATTTGGTTATTTCAATAACAGCACTTGGATCGAGATTGTCATGTTTAAAAATCGATTTGTATATCCAAACTCTAGACGTGTACGTGCTTTTTTCAAACAATTCAGCAGAAGTTCAGAAAATGACATATTCTCTCCACAGTAAGTCAAATTTCGAACCCACCCTTGTTTCTAAGATAAAACGCAATACAAATATGAAACAGAATATAGCTTAAAAACTAGTTCAACAATAATTCTTTTGTCACCAAAATATTCGGTTTCACATCAAATATCAAGTAAAATTACTGTTTTTGACACTTTTTGAGCACTATGATAAAGACATGTCGACGCTGTATAGATTGAAATAAACAATTAATTTCCC